TCAATTTTATGTTCTTAATAAACAAATATATTTGAATTATAATTATTGCAAGATTAATGTCTTATTTTTTTTATTTTCTTTTTCAATATGTTTATTTTTGTTATTAGTGGATTTAGAATTTAGATTATTGATAGTAGAATGATCCAAAAGGTAAAATAAAGAGAAATGCACAAAGTGTGCAAAAATTGAAAAGATGCGCAATGGTTCGCAAAATGAAAAGATGCACAAACGTAGCCCAAATAGAAAAGTTGCACAAAGTGTGTCACTACTATTTAAAAAGATGTGTAATGTCGTCAATTGTAAAACATTTATAGTGTTCTTTCCTTTATCATATAATCTTTAATCCAAATTAATTTAATTAGCAATTATATTCAATATTGAATTCGAAATTTATTAATCATTATTTCATCATTTTTGCAATAATCATTTTTATTTAGTTTTTCTAGCAAGAACAATGACCTTGGTCGACTTTCTTATCTTAGTTGTTCTTTTATTTAAACTTTTGAAAATTTTCTTTTTAGTATTAGTAAATTAATATTATATTTGCAATTGATTTAAAAATTTTTTCTACTTCAACACTTTTGATTTATCTCTAAAAACCTTTCATTTTAAGATGTACTTCCCTCTTTGTTGTTGTCAAAAGGAAGAGTCCAAATATTGTTTGATATTTGTTTAATATTTGATGTATGTGTAGTGTGAATGTTTGTATGTGTATGTTTTGAGTGCATGTGTGAATGTTTGTTTGAATGTTCATTTTTATTCATGTTTTTGTTCGTATTTGGTGTCTTATTTTTTTTCGTGTTTGGCGTATTTTTATAGGGTTTAATTTTGTTATTTTTATATCTTCATGGGAATCCGTTGATTTAAATTGGTCATTATTTAGGAGGAGCTAAGAAAAAATTTGCTTTAAATCTTAACTCAAATAATAATTATTTTGTCATCATCTAAAAGGGGGAGATTATTGCAACTTAATTTTCATAACTATATTTTCATATCATGTGTATTTTTTATGATTCCAAATATTATTGTTTAATTTTTATTTATCCTAACATATATGGGATATATTGCTTTTATTGTTTGTGTGTACTAACCTTTAAGGGAAATCATACTTCAAACTTTTGAATACTACAAAACAGAATAAATTAGAGTTTATTGTAGTTGGAGTCTATATTCTTTTATACTATTGTTGAGATTGAGAGAGTGTGATTGTAATTGGATAACCATGCACACACACACTGAAGAAGTGTAAAATTTTATAATTTTTTAAAACTAATTATACTGTACAACTTGAGGTTGTACGGGACGATTTGTCCAAATAGTTCCTCCAGAGAACAGTTAATTGTACCATAAAATAAATTTTTTTCTAAGTCTTGTTCGTATTGTACGAAGTTACTTTTATACAGACGACATCTAGAGAACGAAATAAATACGTACAAGTTCGTCCTAATGAACATCTAATTTTTTCTGAATTGTTCGTACTGTACGATCTAAGGTTCATACAGACGACGTCCAAAGTAAAAAATAGTGGCGTATCTTTTTGTCAAGATGAATAGGTAGATTTTTGAACTATTCGAACTATATGATCAAAGGATCGTACATATGACGTCTAGAGTACGAAATGGATGCGTATCTTTCTGTCCAGACGAATAGGAAGATTTTTTGAACCGTTAGTATTGTACGATCATAGGATCGTACAGATAATGTCCATATTACAAAATAGATGCATACCTTTTCATCCAAACGAACATCTAGATTTTTTAAACTTTTCGTACTATACAATCTTAGGATCGTACAAACGACTTCCAGAGCATGAAATGGTTGAGGCATTTTCATACCAAATGAAACATGGTTTGATTAAAACTGATTGTACTGTACGATATGGATTTGTACAGTATGTTATTAAGAGTACGAAATCATTTCGTATTGATTCATACTGGATGATCTTGTTCAATTTTTGAACTAATTGCACTATACAATGGCAGTTCATACATATGGCTATGAGTGTACAAAAATGGTTCGTATAGCAACGTACAAGCATATTTTTAAATGTTTGTATGTATGATCGTCGATCGTATTATACGATCATTGACGATCAAACTTGTAATTTTCAATTTTTAGGATGATTTTACGTGTCTTTCATATATAAGCTCCTTAAAAACTGTATGGGACGAATCTTTCTTCGTATTTTCTTTGAGAGAAAGTGTGATAGTGCTTTGAGAGAGTGTTTGAGAGTGTGGAGAGAGATCTTGCAAGTGGAAATTGTGAAGGGTTCACAAGGTTGCCCAAAGGTAAGGATGTCTTTGTGAGTCTTGTCAAAACTCTTCCTTCTTTTTTTGAAGTTGCTCGAGAGAAGAACTTTGGAAAAGATCCAGTTCTCTGGCAACACTAGGAGGGTGTGAAAGAACGATGATTCTCTACCAACACTAAGAGAAATGTGAAAGGATGACGGTACTTTGCTGACACTTTGAGGGTGTGAAAGGACGACGGTACTCTGCCTCACCGGGGATTTGTGGAAGAGAGGGAAATTGTAAAGGTTTCTCCGCCTTGTTGTGAGAGTGAAAGGAGAGTCACTTTGACAATAATGTAATACCTGAAGAGGAAGTCTTCATGGAGTGAACATAGGTCTAGTTGGATCGAACCACTATAAATTTTTATGCTCTTTTATTGTTAGTGCAATTTTTTTTTTTTTTTTTGCACTTTATATATTTTTGTGATTCAAAAGTTTTTTATTTTGAAAATTTTTCTTTGTAAAAAAATTATAAAATAATTTTATAAAATTTTCAAGAGGTTTTTAAAATAACCGATCCCCACCCAGCTCAAAAACCGGCTTCGCAGAGAACCGGCCTGAACCGGACTGAACCGGCGGTTCAACCGGTGAACCGACGAACCGGTCCGGGTTCAAAAGAACCGGCCGGTTTCAAAAAAAAAAAATAATGATAAATAAAATATAAATTTTCAAATTTAATATTATAAATTTATATATTATATTAAAATTTTTAATTTGTTTTAATGTATATTATAAGAATCTCATTTATTATAATTATAATGAAATATAAAAATTAATTATAGTTAATTTATTAGATATTCATAAATATAATATAATTAACTAAATATTTTATAAATTATAATTATATTATAATATATTCATTATTTCAATTTAATTTAATTATATTAAAAGATAATTTATTAAAATTATATAATTTAAATTCTTAGAATTATATTATTTGATGTTAAATTCACGTAATTATCCTATTAATGTTATAAATTTTTAATAATATTAGTATTTATTACATCATCCGGTTCGACCCCGGTTCGACCGGTCGAACCGGTCGAACCTTGAACCTCTCCTTCTTCCGGTTCGTTGTCCGGTCCGGTTTTCACAACCTTGGTTGAGACAATTGTTATATGTATAACAACCTATACGGACTTTCAAGAAGTAGCAATGTTGCACCAAATAAAAAAGCAGTTCATGGATGCTACCCCAGTAGCTACAAAACAATTTCATATAGTAAAAGAAACAAAAGTGAATGGGTTGGATATAATCAATTTGTTGTACTCCACAAAAAATTATATGCATCATCATCCCAAAAAAGATGATGTTTCATCAAACATAAGCAGATTAAGGGTTCGTTTGGGACAGCTTTTTTATTGTTTTCTAAAGCAATTTTCTAGTACAAAAATTTTAATTTGTATATCTAAAAGCTGCTTTAAGAAGCTGTAAAAAAGCTGTCCGAAATGATATCTAATTATAGAACATTTTGGTGTACTTCAATGAAAGTCATATATACAGACACCACCAACCAGCAAGCGTTATGGCAAAAACAGCAAGATGAATAAGTAACAGAATAGAAAGATAATTCCAGCAGAAAAGAATTATGCAGTAACAATAAAAACAAAACCCACAGCTAGAATAAACCAAGCAACAACACAAGACAATTGGCCAGTATCCCATTTAAGAATAGTTCCTAAGAACAGAGACCCAAAATTAAGCAAAAACCGCCCAGCAGTACTTAAAAACTTTTAGCTAATATATATCTATAAAATATATTTATTTATTTTATTTTATTTTATTTTTTTATCATGCATGGATTAAAGTTGTGCTCTGATTTTGAATCGGGATATGCTACGGCAAATTAGGGGCATCTGATTTAAACAACCATCTCAGAGATTCAAATTACTTTTTATTCTTATTTTTTCTTTTTAAAAAATTAGTTTATTTATTTTAAAAACAAACATTTTAATCAACGCCACCAACTTTTAAAAATAAGTGTTTTAGAGTATTTTAAAAACCTCTAGCACCACCCATCATCACCGAAAACTACTATACGCAGCCTATGCTATCTCTAGCCACCGTCATCCACGAACAATTATTACGTCCTCCGACCGGACGAAGAGGAACATCCGGTCCGAGGTCAAATCCCGCCAAAAAACGAGTTGTACCGAGCAAATACCGAGCAATACCATCATTTGAAGACCCAATACCGAGTTATACCGAGCTAAATTGAGAAATAGCGAGTTATACAAAAGTTGTACCCAGTTTTTCCTAGAAAAACTAGGTACAACTCGGTATTTTTCGGTACAGCTCGGTATAACTCGGTATTGATCTTCAATGAACGGTATTTCTCATTAATATCAAATAATACCTAGTTGTACCAAGCAAATACCGAGTTTTTTGACGAGATTTTACCTCCAACCAGACATTCCTCTAAGTCCTTACACCAGACGTAATAAAAGTTCGTCATCCAGAGGCCACTACTACCGCCACATTTGCTATCATCACCACTTAAATTTGTTTATTAAATATTCAATAAAAATAAGATTACATATATTTATATCAAATATATTTTCTTTAAAAATAAAATATAACAAAATAAAATAAGAATAAATTATAAAAATGATCCCAAAAGGTGTCAAATCACGTTTACTTATGTAACGCTTTTAGTATCTCTATTAACACATTCCTTTCATCAAAATTCAGGCCTGCAAGAGGCTTATAAAAATAGAATGATCAAATTCTTGATAATTTGGTAAATGAAACTTCACTGGTTGTTAACAGTTCAACAATTAGCTATCACAGCATTCAGACAATCTAGTGAATTCATAGACCAACAATAATCAACAATAAACCACAGCAGTAAAATACCACAAAGAACAGTAGCTTCCAGCAGCTACTGATAACAGAGAATTATCAGGGACATAACCAAGTTCTAAACTGTCAGCCAAACATAGAAAAACGCCATTGCATAATACATGTTCAACCGAATTAAGAAGCATGCCTTCTCTTCTCCTCCCTTCGGTGTCTGCATTTGTCGTAGTCATTATCACGAGATCTTTTACTATCATGCTTCACCCATCTTCTCTCCTTGTCCTCCCTCTTCTCTTCACGCCGTTTTCTCTTTGTCCTTTGTTCATCCTCCTTGGAATCCTCTTCCATATTCCTTGTCGTAGGTTTGATCATGGGTTCATCATCTCTTTCAGGTGATATTTCCTTAAAGCTTTCTTGTAGAGAACTACTGGCTTCTTGCCTATTTTTTGACAACCTAAAAAATCCAATGAAGAAAAAAGGGGAAAGAAAAAAGAAATGTGTTAAATTACCATCGGAAAAAGAAGTAAAATGAGAAAGCCAATAATATCACGTTCCAAAGAAAAGATGATCGATAAATTAATGCAGTTCAAGTTATTTAGGAGAAATAAATTCCCATTATCTTACTTGTATAAGCCAAGACCTTGAACTTGAGCTGCTTCAGCATGGCCTGCACCCAAATCTTCAGCAGCAGATCCTCTCTTGATAAGTTCAGCATACTCATGCTTATCAATTTGATTTCCTCGGGGATGGATAGTACGCTTAGGAGCTAAACCTAAAGCCTCACGCATAAGTTGCTCTTCCTCCTCCTTGATCCGTCTTATCTCCTCCTTTGCTGCCTCTGAATTTAGGGCAGCAGCTTTCTTATCCCTAGTATACCAATGTAAATCCTTCCCTATTTGATGGGCCCAAAAAAATGTATTGCCTTATCATTTTTATTCCTTCTTGGAGAAAAAAAAAGTCCCAAGACAAAGATGAAAAAAAAGAACGTGAAGGATAGATTAAAGAAAAATATAGCAATTTATATCAGAATCAAATATTCAATTTCAATTGAAGAACATTGATAAAATAAGAATCTGACTTTTAACAGGACATAATGGCGAAAAAGGATTCATGTAGCCGACCCCATGTAGTGGGACAAAGACTTGATGTTGTTGTTGTTGTTGTTGTTGAAGAACATTGATAAAATTGAACGGACCATAAATGCATAGCTGTTACCCAGATATGGCTATACTGCACTTATTTTCCCTTTTTGGGAGAAAGCTATACTGCATGATCTCTAAAAGGATTTGTCAGAAAACTTATCAACTTAAGAAAATAAAGCAGATTAAATTCAGGTTGAAGAATGAGGAAAATAGCTGTGCAAACTTTAATAGTGAACAGTTCATAACGCTCCATAAGTAGGCTTATGAAACTAGCACCTAGTTCAGGATTCTTTTTTTTTTTTTTTTTTTGAAACTGTGAAAATTGCTTTAATCAATAAAAAGAAAGATACAACCTACTTAGGAAACAAGAAACCTATCAAAATCCTTCCTAATCAACTCAACAAACATTGAAGGAAGTTCACTACCCAATAAATGGTCCCAATAAAAATCAACTAATATGGCATGATGAGAACAACAAAATTTACCACATTAATACAATTTCTAGGTACAAAATGAAAAACAACATTCTTAAACATTTCAAGAAAAGAGAGATCCAATCTTTGAATCTGATAATTTCTATCAGGAGACATCTTCACCGAATTCTGAATAAACTTTATGATATTCACATTATCCCCTTCTATAATAATACAATTATTTACCGACATCCATTCCTGTATAGAATATTTGAAATCTAGTATAGCTGCCAATTCCAAGTAGGATTCATCCCAATGAATAACTTGTTTCCCTTATGCACAAAGCAATCTTCCTTTATAGTCTTTTAAAACTCCTGCTATACCCGCCATATTGGACTTCATTAGAGCAGCATCCACGTTCAATTTGATCCTTTCTTTAGGTGGAGAACACCAAATATTCGATAGCAAATCTTGCTGATTGATGTTCCAGTTCTTTTCAATTGAAAACAAGTGCAAAAAATGTATAGGAAGAAAGAATTTTTACAGCAATAGTCGAAGCAGCAAGTGACGATCTACAATGTTAGCTCAGCCTTCTAGCTTTCCAATTTTGATAAATAGCATAAATGTAAATTCTGGCAAGGCCCGACTTCACTCCAACTCCCTTCTTCAAGACATTGTGGCTAGAGGTGTCAATATTTGACACGACACGACAACCCGACCCGGACCCGACCCGAAAAATCCGGGTTGGACCCGACCCGTTTGATAAACGGATCGGGTTCGGGTTCACAGATTTGACCCGTTTGATAAAACGGGTCGGGTCGGGTTGACCCGGCGGGTTACCGGGTCAACCTGAAAACCCGTTTAATTTAAAAAAAATAAAGAAATGTTTCTGTACAAATGAGTTCCCCGATGCTCATTTGATGGATTCCTCGGCCACTCCATGACAAGCTCCATATCCTTGCTCCGCCCAATGAGATCATTTTTAGGCAAGGATCTGTTTCACGTGCTCCGTGCAGCTCAAGCTGCTGCTTTTGACACTAGCTCCTGCCTCCTGCTTTGCGTGTTTTACAAGATGAAGGAAAGTATCAACACCAGTTGTTGCAACTTTATCAAGTTTCTGCACAGCCGTCTCCAGTCCCTTCAAGGTGGGATCAATTTTGAGAGCACGTTTGCCAAATTTGAAAAAAAAAAGACATTGGAAGAACGCTGCCGGGTCGCGGGTCGGGTCGGGTCAACCCGGCAACCCGGCCGGGTCGGGTCCGGGTTAAAATATCCGACCCGTTTGTAAAAACGGGTCGGGTTCGGGTTGACTCGTTTAGAAACAGGTAGGGTCGGGTTCGACCTGAACCCGACGGGTTGACCCGAATTGACACCCCTAATCGTGGCAATGAGACAAGCTTTGAAACTTAGGTACATTAATAGCCATTGTCTCAACATATCTAAAACTTCTAATAATTTAATGCATTGAGTAGAAATATGCTCCAAATCTTCAATTTCATCACAACCTCCCGAACAATAGATATTCTGTAGCAGCTTTCTACGATACAACCAACTATAAGAATCTCCACCAGAATAAATACTCCCTATGAGAAATTTTCAATTTTTTCATCCACTTTAGATCAATCCAGTTATCTTGTTGAATGGGAAAATTAGCTTCATATGCCATAGCAGCGATTGATTTACCAGAATAGGTTGATGAAACTCTATCTTTTGCCTTTAAAACTCTACTAACAAGTGAGTTCTGATGATGCGGACATCCAATCGTCCATGCCTATCCGAGG